GTCTTTGGATCAGACATTTCCCACAGACCACCGGCCACCTAGCGCCGACGGCCCCAAAAATGAAAAAGGACCCCTCGATACCGAGGAGGCGCGCTCCCAGCGCTACAAGCACTTGGTCGATGTGATGCAGGTGGCGCAGCTGCGCAGTGCAAGTCTTGCAGCAGCTGCTCTTAGGATTAGGTTGTTGGTGATGATGGTGAGGATGGTGGCGGAAATGGAAGTGGAGTTGATGAGAGTGAGGCTGATGATCATTCTGGGGATGATACGGTCTGTGCAAATAGATTAGGACGATGAAAAGCACATTGAGAGTTTTGTCAGGAATCGCAAAACTCACAGTGCTTGGTACTTGCAGCAACGGCTCCAACAGAGGTCACCACCAGCAGTAGAAGCATATCAGCATTCTCAGCAGCAAGAGTGTAACGACAAGAACTGCAAGTAAGAACTGCAAGTAAGAACAGTGGCAGTAGTGACAGCAGCTACCAGAGAAAAAACACAGAGCAAAGGCACGACAGACTCGTAGCGAGTCACAGTTAGCGGGTACAATGTGATGGCAGTCGCGCTGCTCATGCCCACAACTTCTGGGGCTTGCCAGTCAGTGTGCCCGTTTTACCAAACTCTAAACCCGAAAAACTAGTCCATAAAATCCTAAACCCAAGCCGAAACCGCCAGGTGTCCGTGAAAGAGGACGCGGAAACTGCACGGCAGGAGATCAGTGCGAGGGCGGAGGCTCGGCCAAGCATCCGAGATCGTCTAGAAAAGTTGTCGTCTCTGCATCTTTGTCGAAGTGTGTCACGTGATCTGTCATGAGCATCGAGTATCCGCGCAGCACATTACCACACCACCAACAACCGCGCCACCGCCGCCACTGCCACCACCATCGCCGCTGCCGCCGCCACAATCGCCATAGCTAGCACCACCACTGTCGCCAGCACCCCAGCATGAAATCGGCCAGCGCCAGTATCACCAACATCACTTTCTCTTCATGCCCTTTTTCATCGCCATTGCCATCACCATTACCTTCGTTCATCACCATCATTCATCACCTTCATCTTCATGATGATCATCATCACCATCAGAATCACCGTCCATCGCCACTATCAGAATCAACATCACCACTATGATCACCATCGCGACCATCACCATCATCACCTTAACCATCATCATCACCACCATAGCCATAATCATTATCATCATCATCATGAATGTGACAACTATCACCACCATGCTCATCATTATCACCATGGTCTTCATTATCATAATCATCATGACCACTATCATCATCATCATCTCTATGACTATCAATCACTTATTGCCATCATCATCATCATCACTATGACCACCATCATCACTATGACGAGCATCATCACCATGACCATCATCATCACTATGACCAGCATCATCACTATGACCAGCATCATCACTCTGACCGTCATGATCAGCATCATCAGCATCATCATCATCACCATCACTATGACCATCATCAGCATCATCATCAGCATCAGTATGAACAGAATGAATGGTTTGACAATGTCTGAGCCAAAGCAGCCTTGGCACGAGCTTCCGTGTTTCACTTCTGGGGTTACTCGAAGCGATTCTATGAGGGTTGCTTAAGTGGTTACTCTGCGGTCGATGAGAGTTGCTACAAGGAAAGGCTTCTACAGGTTTACGAACCTGCTAGTTTAGGGCCACGAAACATGGGAGATTACTATAAGGTCACTGTAGGACTACTATAGACGTGGGCTTTAAGACCCAACTTCCCTGCCCTTTGGCCAGGTGTCCAAGGAGACAGTGAAAGGAAACGTGCAAATTCAGGACCGGGCGCCACGAGTTCGTCGTTCCAGAGTTCTTCGTGTAGACGTCAACACAGCCTTCAAACCCTAAGCCCTACCTAAGCCGCCAAGTCGTCTTCCTTCGCAGAACCACGCTATGTCACAACCCCTCAGCTCGGGTCTCTAACCTCTCCAAGAGCCGCAACTCCACAGTACCTTGTGCAGTTACATAGGAACCGTATGGGACATTATATTATCATTATGTGAGACTTACAATCTCTTCCATTCATTGCTGAATATTCTTGACTTTCATTGCCAGTAGCTTTAGTGTTGTGGTTACACATTCTTCTTTTTATTAGTAGTATGTTTTCTCTTATTATCATGATGATGATGATGATTGCTATTATTGTACATATTATGATCATTACTACCACTACTATTTGTACTATCATAATTATGTTTCATCTACTTCTTCTTATTATGCTTCTTCTTATTATTATTACAACTATGACTGTCATTATCATTATTACGACCTTTACTATTATGACTATTATGTGTATTATTGCTGCCATTGAGCATTCTTCAGACGCTAGGATCATAAGTGGGATCTCTTGACCTCGGAGAATCACCCAGAGAGCCTAATACCCCTTCACTAAGGAATATACCTCTTTATTCAAGGCTAAACCCTAAACCCTAAATCCCAAACCCTAAACCCTAAACCCCAAACCCTTAATTAAAGGGCATTGGGCTCTCTGGGCACTGCATCGGTTTCATCTGACGCCAGGAGCCAAGCTCCTTGGAAGGGCGAATCCCCCCCCGAAACCATTTGGGTAGGCTCAATTTGGGTAGCTCTCTGTCAGTGTTAGGGACCTGTTTATCAGCGTGCCGTACTATTTGGGGGACCTGAAACTGAACCATAATTTAGAGCACCACTGCAGGGCGTAACCCCCCCCGAAAGCATTTCGGTGGCTAGAACGGCCTAGGGTTTTAAGGGCTTATGGCCTGAGGTTTCTTTGCTTAGGGTTTAGGACTTCGTGGCTTCGGGTTCATTCAGGATCTCTGGCTTCTGGCTCCTCGTTTGATTTTTTTTTTTAGGGTTTAGGGCATGGCTAGAACGAGACGGCAAACAGGCAAGCCGCAACCCTAAACCCTAAACCCTAATCCCTGCAGCAAACCCTACACCAAGGCAGGCAGTAGCGAGGGCTCCAGTCCCAGCCTTGAGGCGTTCGTTCTTTTCTTCGTGCCTGGCACCTCCACTAGGTATTGCGGAGCCGTTGGGTTTAGGGTTTAGGGGTTTAGGGGTTTAGGGTTTAGGGTTTAGGGTTTATTATACTATAGTATACCCCAAAACCCGATTCAGGTATTCACACATTCTATAGTACAGGCGTTCCTTTTCGCAGTTTGCAGTCCCCCACGTGTGTCAGCTCACAGAAGAATCCACCTGAAAGCCTCAACCAATAAATGCTTTCGGGCTTTAGAGTTTAGCCAAGCCCTAACGTACTTCTAGGACATTTTCAGGTGGGTAGCTACCGTTGTAGGAGCCTTATAGAAGGTCTATATACCTTATAGGAGTCTTATAGAAGCCCTATATACCCTAAACTCCCCACCTGTAGTTGCCTTTAATTTAATTAATCTCCAAACCCCAAAAACCATAAAGCCCTAAACGCGCCTCTCCGAGCCTTTCGATAGAATCCTGCAGGAGAGCCAGGCAAAGGCAGAGAAGAGCAGCCAGCCACCCATCTTCCGGTTTGGGGTTTGCCATAAGGACCCTTAGGGGGTAAGGGGGGGCGAGGGTGTACCAGTAATAAAATAAGGCCTTGATAAGCCTAATGGAAGTATAGTCCCCTACTTCCCCCCCGCCCTCCCCCTACCCCCTAAGGGTCCCTGTGAGTTTGGGGTTTAAGGTATAAAGTTTCGGGTTCCTTGAACGGGAGGACGTTCTCCTCCGCTTTTAAAGCCCTCAAAGCCCCTACCTTTCGCGGGCCGGAGGCTCTGATTGCCAGAGCCCTGGACCCCACAGCCCCTAAACCTCAAACCCGAAGCGACGGTTGATGATGTGAATCCTGCATTACCCGTAATAAGGAACATACCATAGTTCCCATAGTTTGGGGTGCTTAAGGTCATGCAGGATTTATACTATCAACAGTAGTATCGCGGCCCATTATATATAAGTTATTGCCATCTATCCCGCCTAGGCGGGTGAAGCAAACAACGTGTCCTCGTGGTTGTTGTTGCCGTCGTCGTCGTCGTTGCTGGCCGTGATGATGGTGCTGTTGATGATAGTGATAGTGTTGGTGGTGACGATGGTGATGATGAGTACTACGGTGATGTTGAGGGTGATGGTCAACACGATTCGTCATCATGAGAGCCTGGGTGTTATGCTCATGATGGCCGTCATGATGTTTGCCTCCGATGATACGTTTTTTTACAACATCTCGTCTTCCTGTTGTGAAGGGCAGCTCTTTGGCTGTTGGTACTTTGATGGTAGCAATGATGGTGTGAAGGAAGGTCGCTACTGTTAGTGTTAGTGTCCGTAGCAGTGTCTGTAATCGCGAGTGATTGTCTTGCAATGTCGCCTCTACCCCTCGTCCTCCTACAGCAGCAACTCTATACCACGAGACAACAGCAACGACAGCCGCTGCTGCCACTGCTACCCACTCCCACTCCTCCTACTACTTCTCCTACTCCTATAGTACTACTGCTGCATGATCAGTTAGTTCTCCACCATCAAACCCTAAACCCTAAACCCTAAACCCTAACCCTAAACCCTAAACCGTGGTTTCCTACACCGTTAATCCTCAGAGCTCTCGCTCGCTGAGGCTCCAACTTTTGGCAATGGGCCCACAGCTCAGCTCAGACACAGACCAGCACTTCAAAGCCTAAACGCTAAACCCTGAACAGGCAGTCCTGTATGTTTCTGGGTTCCGGGTGCAGTTGACATGGTGGGCTAGCAGCCGCATCGAGACCGCCTGCTTTTTGGTTTGTGTTTGCTTATGGCAAACTTCAGGGTTCGGAAGATACCATACCGTTTCACCGCTTCAAGGAGCCAGAAAGCATCGGGAGCTTTGTGAACTTCTCATCCGATGCCGTGCGAGCTGTCCCACATGGAAAGCTGTGAGCGCACTTGTGCTGCAACACGTAGTATCCGGCAGATCCCTGCCTTCCACATGCAACCCTGCACTCGGACTCAGCCCTAAACTCAACGCTACACCGCCAGAGAGCCCTGGCGCCATGGCGAGCCAATCATGTGCTTTCTGCGCTCTCTCGCCGAGCCTCTCGCCTTCGCCGCTTCCCACGCCCTCGCAGGCCCTGGGATCCACGACAAAGCCGCCTGCCCCAAAGTGGCAGCGCTGGGTTCTGGGCTTCGGCCTCGGTATCCGAAACCTGCGGCCGTGTTCGCGAGGGTACCGGGCCATCCGGGCCCGGAGCTCTGAACACCCGGAGGGCTCGGACTCGGCTCCCCCAGCGGCCGGGATCCCGAAGGGCTCCGAGCAGAAGCGGGGGAAGGCGCCGCGCAACAGGCGCAGGGTCCCCCAGATTTTTCATTTTGTGTCTTTTTTTTTGCTGCTTGGGTTCATGCAGCTCACAGAGACTTTCAGGCATCAAGCTTTCAGGATACATGTGTGAAGGAAAGATTTCTTTGACTGATAGATCCCTCATAATCCCAGACCCTCAGCCCTAAACCCGAAACCTAAGCCCTATGAAGCCCAAAGAGGTGGCTGAACCTGCTTGAGCGGCTCTTTCGGGATCTCGGGGAGGTCAGCTCTAGACCACGCCGCGACGCCAGGGGCCAAGCTTGGTTTTAGGGGCTCTTAGGATGTGGCCGCATTTTTCGGGTGTTGGGCTTAGGGGTTTAGGGTTTAGGGGTCTAGGGGTGTTGGGCTTTTGAGGAGTTTGGGGAGGAAGGGTGGAGGGTTGAAGGGCTTAATTACTAGTTCAGGGATGGTCCTCAACAGCAGAAGCTTCTGGGAGGTTCTTGGGTAGTTGCAGCTGGACTCATCAGTCCCCGACTATGGGTTATAAGTATAGTTGCCTTTCTCATAACCCCACTTATATAACTACCCATACCTCCAAGTTGACATGATTCCAACAGCATCCCTTTGTTTCGAAAGCAGCTAAGCACCCTTCCCGACCTGTATAAAGCCCCTTTGTTCACATTCTTCGCATTCCCTGTGAGCACGAGGGGTCCCTTACCTCCCAAACTCCCTAAACCTTAACTTACGCCCTAAACCCTAAACCTCACTAAACCCTAAGCCCCTAAACCCTAAGCCCTAAACAGTTCCCTGAGCCCTATAGACCCAAGGCGACTTATTGGGGCCTGGTGCTTGGCTCGCTTTCTCTGGCCGTGGTCAGCGACTTCCTTGGCATCATGAGGTCCCAAGAGAGTCCATGTTACAGGGCCTCTTATTGTGAACTGAGGGCTTCGTATGCTCCTGGGGTTTTGGTACCCAATTTTCAATCGTTTGTCTCAGAGACCCTAAGTCCCTCTAAGCCCAGAAATCTTAGATCCTGAACCCTACCTAAGCCCAAAAAATATCCGACATCCTAAAGTCGGTGTAGGGTTTAGGAAGTTTAGGGTTTAGGGCCCATGCCTGCAGGCTGCTACTGAGCTTAAACCCAAGCGGCGCGCGGCAGATGGCCCTGGACGAGGTGTACCCTGTGGAGGGCCTCAAGACGCGCGCCCCCCCGGGGATTTGCTTGGGTGGGTGTGTGGGTTGTTGCCTGAACTGGAGTCCCTTTTCGGGTCCTTTTATAAGGGTGCCGTACTATTTTGGGGGACCTAAAAAAGGGACCCTAATTTAGAGAACTACCTGTATGTGTGTGTATTATCTTGGCTTTCAAAAAGGGTTTTTTTTTATGGCATTTGAGGGGCCGAGGATGAAGGGAATCCCCGAAGTTCTACAGTGATTTGAGACGGATCTTGAGGAAGAAGAGATCATGGCAGCGATGATAGTGCTAAAATAGTCGGGGTAGTACTTTAGTAGGGACGGAACTCCAGTCTCCTCCAGCCTGAAACGCCGGAAGTCACATCTGTCACTAGCCTTGTGTCTTCCGATAGTTCAATCTTGAGCCGCACTGATGCTTGTTCCTACTTTGACTGTAGGTCAATCTGTAGCCTCCACGACCACGGCCACAACAACCACCGCTGCTACCTCCGCTGGTGCCACCGCCGCCGCCACCACCACCGTCAACATCACAGCCACCACCACCAACGCCACCGCCAAACCACCACAACAACGACCACCAATACCACTGCTGTCTCACGATTTCGGGTCATCAATGCTCGTGTTGCCACTATGCATACTGCAACTAATTCTAGGTTTTCTTGGGGAAAAAGCTTTATCATTGCTGTCCTCTTTCTCGTGACCGCTATGACAGAGGTACCGCCAGCGCGGCCGCTACCGTCTCCGATATCCCGGCGAGTGGCTTTTCGATCAGAGCGTGGCCTTCTCGAAGCAGGCCGCCATTGAGCTGCCGACCTTGAGGCATGGGGTTTCAGGGTTGAGGGCTTTAAGATTCTAGCCTTTTTGTGGTGGTTAGTTAGGGTTCTGGCGATTAAAAGATGCAGGAATTTCAAGGATTACCAGGAGCTACACAGGCTCAATGCAAGATTGTTCCCAGAGGTCTTCTAAGCCATCGGGGGTTTAGGGTTTTGGGTTTAGGGCTTGGGGCTTCGGTTATAGGGCTTAGACTTAGAGTTTAGGCGCTTCTTTTGCCCTGCAAAGCTCTTTCTCGGAGGAAGGCCCCTTCGAGTATGAAGCTTAAAGAATCGCCTGCCGTTCTTGCATAGTAGGCCGGGACATGGGTATGCGTTGCTGATCCTTTTCCTGTATCCTATTATGTCCTATTGCGCGCGCCCTACTTGGAGGTTCATGGGAAGTTATAAGTGGGATTATACGTCCTCTCATATGGGATACAAGCATAGTTACCCACCTACAACCCCACCCTACTTACAACCCCACTTATAACTTCCCATGACCCTAAACCCTAAACCCGCAGCAAAAGTGCCACTACACATTAAAAAACCCTAAACCCTATAGAAACCTTGAAGGAACCCTATAGCGGCCCATGAACCTCCAAGTCTCTTGGAACTTCGAATGCTCAAGCCCGTGAAAACACCCGGGCCAAGCTTCTGAGATCGCCAGCCTCAGTCGTGTAGTTCTCTAACTTAGGGCCCCGTGTAGGGTCCCTTAGAAAAGTCCATGAGGGTTTCTGTAGGGTTTCTCTACTATACGGGTTCAATTTGGTAGTTGTCTAAATTAGGATCTCTTTTGGGGTCCTGTTTGTAAGGGTGCCGTACCATTGGCGGACCTGAAAAGGCACACGAATTTAGATAACTACCGACCCTAGACCCTAAACCCCTAAACCCCTAAACCCCTAAACCCCTAAAGCCCTAAACCCTAAACCCTAAACCCTAGGCACCCTAATCCTAAATACCAACGGAAGAGGCAGAAGAAGCGCATCGTCCCCGACGCGGCGTTTGGGCCGGCCGGTGGCGGCTTGGCGACGACCGCCACGGCGCAGAACCTTTCTGTGGTGCGCCAAGGGTGTAGGGTTTGTATGGGTGTGCGGCATACAGATTGCGGGCTTTGTGCAGAGATATCAGATATCGAATTGTTTCGCTTTCATCGTGTTTTGGGTGTAGTAGCGCTTTTCTTGTTGTGCTTGATTTCTGAAGGTTGTCATTGCGTAGCCGGCAAATTATGTTTTGCAAAGTTTCATATTTGTCGTTATTAGCACTACGACCATCGTTTAGTTTCATATGAGTGCATGTAGCATGCATGGCAGAGTAGCAGCCAGTGTTGAGACACAGTCGCAGTGATCAGTGCCATAGGCAATAGGAGTGGCAGGATCAGCAGTGATAATGGTGGTTATAGCAAACACAAGACACCTGTTCATTGTAACATAAGTACGGATTGGCACAGGAGTGTCCAGGATAGAAACGGAAAATAGTTGAGTCATTCGTGGTGCTTAAAGGTAGAGACCTCGAGCAACCAATAAGCATGATCATGGCATGTTAACTTGTTCATGAGCAAGAAGAAGAACATGATAATGTTAAATATCATTATTGGCATTATTCCAAGTGGCAGCAGCAATAGCAGTAGGAGTGGTAGTAGTGCTAGCAGAAGCAACCGGATTAGCAACAACAATTCCCGTGGCATCGGCATTGATGCCCACAAAATCCCAAGAACAGACACCGAGCTATGCGATAATGAAAAACCAGCAACCGAAGCAAACAAACTAATAAGTAAGAATGTTGGGACGACGAGCAACTATGGCGATACACCACCACCATCATCATCATCATCATGTCTACTACGACCACTACGACCACTACTACTACTAC